CTATTTCAGCAATATTAAATCTAGATTGTGTTTCATTTTTAAAATATATATAATAAAAAATAACATAAAAAAAAAACATTTTTTTATCCATTGGAAATTATTCTTTGATTGCAAATAATAATATAACAAAAAAATAACATTTTGATAAAATTTTGTTAAATCATATGTTATAATCGGTCTATTATTCTTTTATTTTTTTCATTCACATTATATTTACATCAATATTCAAATTACTTCTTTGAAACTCAGTTATATCACATTCACTTATTACTTTTACAATTTTATAAAATTTAAAATAATTATTTATTTTTATATATTTTTATTATCAAATGATATATAAATAATATATATTATACAATACAATATAATATAATATAATATAATATTTTAAATATTAATTTATATAAATGGTAAAAATATTATATATTTCAACTGTCTTATATAATTTGTCATTTTTTTTTTTTGAAAATATGATTATACACTGTAATCATAAAGTAAATTTTATAATTTTTTTAAATTTTAATTAAACCATTAGTTATTTTAATATTTAAACTTTAATTAAACCATTAGTTATTTTAATATTAATTTATAATTATTTTTAGCTGAAACAATTTTTTATGTGCAGTATGGATTATTATGTCAAAATATAAAATATATTATTTTAAATTGAATATTTGACTTTTTGTAACAAGTATTTGAATTATTATTATATTTTTTTATTTTTTTTTTTACTTTTTGGCTTGTATAATGAGTATTTGAAGTTTTTCAAATAAAATATTTTGTATTTTTTATTACTCCATCTGTCCTACAAAAAATATTTACATTTTCTATTTTCGTTCGTTTTACATTATTTCTCTTTTTCTATTTTGAAAATTTAATTATATACTTTAATCATATTTTAAATTTTATAATGTAAAATGTTTATAATTTTAATTGAATTATTTAGTTATCATCTTAATCTATAATTGGTTTTATTATAAAATAATTATTCTTACTAATATATTTCTTAATTATTTATTAATTATATTTTACCTAAAATCTCATATTCTACAATAATATTTTCATATTACATGAGACGGAGGGAATATTATTTTTTTAAAATCGCAACTTAAATACAACGTTGAAAGAACGGAATGAATTGTTTAATACTAATATTCATAATTTGTAATGAAAAAATAAATAAATATATATATACTTATATGAGATTAATGAAATATTATATTTTATAATAATTTTTAAAATATTTTAATATTCAAAATTTTGAATCAATTTATGTTAGATATTTATTTTGAAATATTTATCATTTAAACTCTAAGATATAACTATTTTATATATTAAATATATAAAAATAATATATTTTTTAATATTTTTCAAAAGCTTGTAGGTTGAAGTACTTGGCTTACCACCTGGTGAGTTGGGTCGGATTGTCAAAATCTTAGTTTTTTCCACTGTGAAATAGTTCACAAATAATCGAATTATTTTCAGGTTATAGTGGATTGTAGACTAATTCATCCCGCTAATCTATTTTATTTGATAGAAGATTATAAAATTTTGAAGTTTTAAATTTTTTTATTATTGAATTGAAAGAATACGTCTGTGTTATTAACACGATTGTATTTGTTCAAGATTATTTGCCACATGTCAGTCTATTTCATCAATATTTTAATCGTGAGACAAAAAATTATAACTTTTTTTTTTTTTGTTTGGTATGAAACTAATTTGAATAATTATTTTTTGAATATAACCAAAATGAAAAATAAAAATAAAAATAAAAAATGATAACCAATATTAAGTTTGTTCAATTTGAAATTAGTCAAAACCTTGTTTCATGGTCTTTCTTTCTATTTATTATTTGTTGGCAACTAAACAAAATTAACTCCCTTAGCACTACATAGGATTGCAAGTAACATGGAGCGTTAGATTTAGTATTTTTGTTTAAATAATATTTTGATTTGATATTTTGAAAAAAAAAATAATAATATATTTTTATTAGAAACTGTTCAATGAATAATATTCATTTGAATTTAAAAAAATAATATATTTAAAATTGTGGATAATTTTCAATTGGTAATTTTTATTTTAGTTTTATTTAAATAATAGTTAGAATATATATATATATATTTAAAATTAATTATCAAACCGACAAAAATACATTCAATTTGACATTAAGGCTATAAATATTTTCACTGTCTTATCTACTGTGTCCATATTGTCATTTTTGTTCATCCAACATCTCATGCAATTATATTTAATATTAAAAATATTTTTATATTTGTATAATATTTTTATACATATATCGCTCTATTAGTAGTATAAGACACAATTATTGTGTATGTTTTAAATTAGACAAAGTCATATTTCTTGGTCTTTCTTTCTATTTGTTCTTTGTTGGCGACTAAATAAAATTAAGCTCCATAGCATTACATATGATTGATAGCAGCAAGTAACATCCATGTTGATATAAAATTTTGTTTAAATAATATTTTGATATAATATTTTATGAGAAAAATAATATATTTTTATTAGAAACTAATAATATTGATTTAAATTTAAACTGTATAAAACAAACTCTTAGGTGTTCGAAGTTTTCTTTCATTTATTTATTTATATATATATATATCATATCATTTTATATAAAATATACTATATATTTAAAATATTATGTTCAATTAGAATAGGATATGTTCATTGAAACAATTTTTTTTTGCTGATATGATTTTTAATTTAAATAGCATTTATACTTTTATTTTTTTCAAAAAAAATAATAATTCAATACAAAATATTATATTTTATATTATCAATACAATTCACCGTACTTCACATAAAAAGAAAAAATTCAAACTAAAATACTAAATAAACACACGAATTATTTAAACACAAAATACAACTATAAAACACGAACATAAATGAATTTAGCCCCGTTCATCGGTTTGGTTTTAGATATTTTATTTTGCAATTTTCTATTAAAACAAATTATTTCATCTCATAAAATTTTGAAATTAAATAACTAATTAAACTAAAATTTAAAATCAAAATCGAAAAGAATAAGTTGTGTTCAGTCAGTAATTTTATTTTATATATTTTATCCTTTTTTTTTCTTTTATTTGGAATTAAATGTAACATTTTATAAATATATATATCTACATTCATGTCGATATAATCTTTATCACTTCTATCCAACTTCAATGTATTTGTTTTCTTTTTTTATAGTTGTATTTTTTACTTTTAATTAGAAAAAATATTTGTATACTTTAAATAATATATTACAAACAATGTCATAATGTTTTTTTATGTGAGAATATTTATTTAAATTTGATATTAAAAGAATATCTGATGGATGTTTAGTGAGAGAAAAAAATATATATTTAAAAGAAAAAATATAGAGTTCAAATTATATACTCCCTCTGTCATTCAAATCTATTTTTACTTTTTTTTTGTTATCCAAATTTATTCCTATTTCCTTTTTTAGTAAAAAAATACTATTTTTTTTAAAAAAAAAGTAAAAATTTCAATTTTTTCATATTTTTCTTAAAATCCGTGTCCGGTCAAATGAGCATACAATTAGATAACGGATAGAGTAATTTATAAAATTTTTATAAAAGAAATTCATCTTAATATATTAAATCTACATATAAAAAAACAAATGAAGAGAGAGAATATATCTTTTAAAAAATTGGATTGGATAGTAAAAAAAATTGACAAATGAACAAGCTTATGTTATTTGATTTTTTCATTAGGTTATGATAGATACACTAACTTAGCATGACAATTAGAATATTATTTTAATGTAATAGGACTAGTAATTAATCAATAATCTCAAGGTTATTCAATAATCAATAATGTATTTCAAACCTATGACATCTAATTACTAGTATTTAATTAAAAAATAATCAATTGTTGATTAAGATTGACCTAACTATTATTTTAATTGGTAAGGTGATATTTTGTAAAAAATAATATTATGTTCTTATAGACAATCATATAAATTTGCATAGTAAAAAAATAGACATAGTCAAATATATATATATATATATATATCATATTGATGACATACAAATTAATATTTTGTATTAAATCTACTTTTAAAAATTGATTTAAAAAAATATATATCATATACTGTGAGTGTGTATATTTATATATTTGTAATATTAAACAAGAAGCAAAAATATTTCTTTTTAGGTGAATATATATGTAAAATAAGCATAATTTTACATTTTTTATTTATATCTTTTCTTTCATTTTTTTAAAAAAATGTATTTTATATATTTTAAATTAAAAAAATGTAATATTATCTTTTAAAAATAATACATTGAATTAAATATGTATATATAAAAAAAACAAGAAGCTAGTAACTAACTTTTGTTTATTAAAAAAAAAAAAGGCATTATTTAGGGAAATTCCGGTGTGTTTGTTTTGTATTTTGATTTGAAGAATTTTTTTTTTAAAATATAAAATATAAAAAATTATGTAGATAATATAAAATAATTAATATGTAGTATATTAACTTTTCTCAAAACAAACAAAGCCTCTGTCTTTTATTTATTTATTTTTTATGATGCGAGAAACTAAATCTAATAAACCAAATCAAAAAGGGTTTAGGGACAACTTCCATCTTTTATTATTATACACTACTACAAAAAAAAAAATCATTTTTGTAACAAAATATTTTTGTCTCTAAATCTACTTTTTCTGTTACTAATGACATTAGAGACAGAATTAGGAATTGAATTACTTTAGCTAAGTGAACTTTAGGGACGGAATTCCGTTATAAATATATTATTTTTTTAGTGTTACGATAAATATTAGTCAAAGTATAGTCATGGGAATAATTAGAAAGAAAAAAAAAATAAAGAAATAAAAATTATGTCATATATATTTATTTGATAAATTTTATTTTAGTTTTACTTAAATAATAATTATCAAATGAACCCCAATTCGACATCAAGGCTATAAATACATACTCCAAGGCAAGGGAATAACAACATAAACTAACACAATCTTTTTTGTTACACATCAAACATCATGAAAACTTCGACTTTTTTCATCCTTTCACTCCTTATAACATATTGTTACATCGCCGCCGCCGCCGCCGCCGCCGATGAACAAGACGAATTCCTCGAATGTCTCCACGACGAATTCGAGAACTTCACCGCAATCTCGAGCCATGTCTACACTCCGACCAACTCATCTTACCCGTCGATCCTAAGATTCTCCATAAGAAACCTAAGATACGCGACGAATTCGACTCCAAAACCCTTATTGATCCTAACTCCGGATCAAGAATCCCAAATCCCTCCGATCATCCATTGCGCCGTACAAAGTGATCTTCAAATCCGAACCCGAAGTGGCGGCCATGACGCCGAAGGATTGTCCTACGTCTCGAAAGTCCCCTTCATGATCCTCGATTTGATAAACCTTAGCCAAATATCGATCAACGTTGAAGAAAAAACCGCGTGGATCGGAGGTGGCGCGACCATTGGCTCTTTATATTACAAAATCGCCGAAAAAAGCCCCACCTTAGGGTTCCCGGCCGGGTTTTGCCCAACTTTGGGGGTCGGGGGGCACATAAGCGGGGGCGGCTACGGCTTCATGATGCGAAAACACGGCTTAGCAGCCGACAACATTGTCGATGCAAGAATCGTCGATGTTCACGGGAGGATCCTCGATCGAGAAGCGATGGGAGAGGATTTGTTTTGGGCGATTCGGGGCGGGGTCGGGGCGAGCTTCGGCGTGATCACCGCATGGAAAGTGCAACTAGTCGACGTGCCCGAGAAAATCACAACATGCACGACGCAGAGGACGTTGGAGCAAAATGCGACGTACCTCGTCCACCGATGGCAACACGTCGCCCCGAGGATCGACGACGATCTATTCATCTGGCTGACGGCGGCGAGAGTGAATTCGAGCGACGGGACGACGACTATATTGTCGTCGTTCTTTTCCTTCTACCTCGGCGGCGGCGCCGACAAATTGGCGGCGCTGATGCACGAGAGGTTCCCGGAATTGGGATTCTCCCGACAGGACTGTACGGAAATGACATGGATTGAAACAACTGTCCTAACGGCTATTCTAAGTGGATATCCTAATGCTACGATCGAATCCTTACTGAGTCGATCACAACCCAATTTAATGAGCCTCAAGATCAAATCGGATTACGTGAAATCCCCGATTCCTATTCATGGTCTCAAAATGATGTGGCGATTATTGTCCGGACCCGAGGGTGAACGGGGGCGGTTGATCTTCACGCCCTACGGCGGAAGAATGGCGGAGATTCCGGAATCTTCGATTCCGTTTCCTCATCGGGCGGGGAATCTTTTCAAACTTACGTCGGTTTTGTATTGGGCCGAGGGCGAGGCGGACGAGGCCGATAGGTTCATGGGATGGAGTCGAAGGTTTTATAGTTCGATGACTCCTTATGTTTCGAGGAATCCGAGGGAGGCGTATGTTAATTATCGGGATCTCGATTTAGGAGTGAATAATGCAAGAGGGATGACGACATATGAGGAGGCTAGCGTTTGGGGGTTTAAGTATTTTAAGGGAAACTTTGATCGATTGGTTCGGGTGAAAACTGCTGTGGATCCTCGGAATTTTTTTAGAAATGAGCAAAGTATTCCGGCCGTTTACTCGGACACGGATGATTGATTGATTGATTGGTTTTAATTTGAAATTTTATTGGATTGTATTCTGGTTCGAATAATCATTTTCTATTTTTGTTGTTTGAAATCGATGTATTTATTTTTATTGTATTTTACTTCCGCCGTCTTATATCTATATATTCATTTATTTTTTGCACGGAGTTTTAGAAATATTAGTATTATATTGGGATAAAGTAGAAATAAAGGTAAAAAAATTAAATTAACTCTATTAGTAATATATTGTAAATTGGAAGGGTATCTGTAATGTTAGGTAAATAATACAATTACTAAAAAAATGAAATTGATACTTTTGTTATGGGACAGACCAAAATGAAAAATAGAAAAATAGATAGATTGTTAAAGGACGGATAGAGTATTATACACGGTTAATAGGTTTATTTTTGTGCGATGATAAAATATTTTTATATTTTGTGTAAAATTATAGATATCTTATTTTGTTTTCTTTTCAATGTATTTTCAAAGATATTTTAGTCTATATCTTCTTTTATGCATTTTGTGTACAAAATTTAATTAATATTTGAGAATTTAACTAATAAATGGATTGAATATTGTGTTCCATGTGATTTTTTATTTTATGCTCCCTTCGTTATAAAACTATGGTCTTATTTGAGTTGGACACGAGATTTAAGGAATATTGATATTATATTGATAGTTGGTAAAAAGTATAAGTAAAAGAGTGCCCTTGTGACTGCCCTTGTGAGTATATTAGTGTAAAAAATAATAGCATTTGTGTAATAATAATTAAAAAATATGGATAATTTTATGATGATATGAGTATTTATGAAAATGAGACTATTGTTTTGGGACGGATAAAAATAATAAATAAGACTATTATATTTGATCGGAGGAATTGAGCATTTTCGTTTATTAGTTTCACTTGTAATCTTCTAATATATTTAAATTAATATTGTTTTATGTAATACTCTCATTGAAGTAAATTTCTTATTTTATTTAGTATGTTCAAATAGGAATTTTTATTTATTTTTTAATAAAAGTCCAACTAAATATCAAAATATTTCTATTTTTTAGTTTTTTATAATACTTTTATTTTAATATTAAGGATAAAATAGACATTATATTATTTTATTATACTATATATTTATAAGATACTAATTTATTTTAATCTATGTATAAAAATCAAATGAAAAAGTACATAACAATAAAATATAGTGATATGTAAAATATATAAATATCTATATATATATATAGTCTCTCCGTCTCAATTCAAAGTACAACTTTTACTATTTTCGTTTGTCCTATTTCAAAGTATATTCTTCATATTTTAGAAAAAGTTACATATATCATTACATATACAATTATTTTATACATAAAATTAAAAGACAAAAATATTAAAAACTTTTATTCATTTTTACTAATTAATAAAATACTATTGTTATATTTTAATTCTACAAAACCCCAACTGCTCCTTTTAATTTGAAACTGATGAAATATATATAAAAATATAAATAGATGTATAAAAGTTAAAAGCAAACTATGTCCGTGTTTACATAAATATATGTGAAGCTTATAAATAGAACGTGTTTCTTTATCCTTAAACCTCAAATTTTATTAATTGAATTTTACATTTTTTGCATTTTTTTTTTTTACAAAAATCTATTTATATGTTATTTTAGTACAAAATTCAAATTAAAAAAAATAAAAAAAAAATTCCACACCAAATGAAAAAACACACACTTGCGTGTGATAGAAGTAAACAAATTATTTCTCAATGAGGTCACTTTCATTTGAATAGTAACGGACATATCTTATGCCATCTCCAACTCATTATCTTTATTTATCTAGTTTTAATTCTAAATATGCAGTTATTACAGTAATTTTATTTTAATCATAACTCTAGTTTTTACTATTATTCTTCAAATATTCAATTTTTTCTATTATTTTAAACAACTTTTTATTTTTATAATTTAAAATAAAATTTTAAAAATTTTAAAAAATAAAAATTAAATTTATAATTTTAAAAAAAATTAAAAAAAAATAGCTTGGTGCTGGGAATGACGCTGGATTGGAGCAGCTCAGCGGCAAAAATGGTGTTAGAACGTCAGATATGGAGCATAGTTGGAGATGCTCTCTTAGGCATATGAATAAAGTGGTGAATCATAAAAAACATTGGCATTTGGTAAGTTTAAAACTAGACATCTATACATAAAAATGAATGAGAACATGCTGCACTATTTAATTAATAGTAAACTAAATGAGTGTATTCAATATAGATTTTGTAGGATTTTTAAAATTTGGATGTATTCAATCAAAATTTTTTAAAAGTCTTTTTAAAATCTAGAGTATTCAATCCAGACTTTTAAAAGTCTTTTAAAATCTTGAGGTATTCAATCTAGACTTTTAAAAGTCCTTTAAAATATTGAGATATTCAACAATCCAGACTTTCAAAGTCGATGGATTTTGTATAAGAAATAATCTCTCATCATCATCACATATTTTGATGAATTCTTAAAATTATTATTATTATTATTATTATTATTCTTATTATTGTTGTAGTATATGTGATCAATAATATGATAATATTTATTACTATAATTATAATTTTTAATAAAAATAATAATTTAAAACTAAAATATATTAGCAAATTATTATGAATTTTTTTAAAATATATATTTTTGTATTATAAATATGATTTTAAAAAATATTATTATCACAATAAATATATATTACTGTCGTCTTTTCTTTTCAATTATTGAATACACTATATTATCATTACGATAATTGTAAAATAGATATTTAAATATATATTTTTTCTTGAACCCGTTAAATTATATTTATTGGTTTATTTTAATATTTTTTTAAAAATCATAAATTATATTTTTTATTTTATTTATATACGTATTTACTTTTTATATAAAAAAGTTATATAAATAATAATAATAACTAATAAAGAAATATAAAAACTAATTTAATATATTGAATGATAATATAATACTAACATTATAAAATTAAAATTAATAATCTAAAATATAGTAGTATTACAGATGTTACAATATTTCTACATTATTTTACTTATATATTATTTATTAATATTAAATATTATTTTATTAATAATTATTTATTATATTTATAAAATTTGTTGTTTGATATAAATTCATATAATTAATATATTCATAAAAAAATTATTTTACAATCCTACAAAATCCATAAAAATTCAATCAAATTTGTAGAAATTCATCTAAATCAATTACTAAAATCCATCAAATTTTCTAAATCCACATAAATCCATAGACTTTTTAAAATACAAAAAGAATCTATTAAAATATCAATTGAATACACCCCCTAAATAATAGAAACAATAAAAACCCTATTTTTTTTTCTAGCCTTTTTTACCGTGAAATTTATACTTCCTTTATTCGGCTCGAATAGTCCTATTTACTTTTTATTTGTTAATATTTAAATATTAATTATTATATCAAAATATAGTACAGATTAAGAAAAAATTGAAAAAATACTTTCATTAGTGTCTTATAATACTAATAGAAGGATATTTGTACAAAAAATTATACAAATATGATGATATTTTTAATGTTAAATATAATTATTTAAAAGGTAAATGCGATCTTTAGAAGCGGACGAATGAAGTACTTTTTTTATTAGAAATATAATATAAGTTCTTGTGTAAAACATCGTATCAGTAATAAATAAATAAATAAAATTTAGAGAAGGTATTTAATCTAAATTTTTTAAAAAATTAAAATCCTATGCTATTAAACAATTTATAAATTTTAAAAATATATTATTTTTATTGGATTTTATTGAAAAATTATGAAAAAATTATATTGCATAAAATCTCTCTGGATAATAAGAGATTTTGATTAATTCTTAAAAATATATTATTGTTATTATTAATATATAAGTGATAAATATTAGTATAATATTATTTATTAATATTATTATAATATCTTAACAAAAAAAATAATTCTAATTTAAAACTAAAATATACCATAAAATTATTATTAAATTTTTAAAAAATATGTGTTTTTATATTCTAAGTGACTTGTGAGGTTTTGGTTTTAGGTTTTGATTTTGAACAGTAAAATTTTAAATTGAAATAGTTGTTGATGTGATGTTTTGAATGTAAAATTAGATTTTAGTTAAATAAAATAAATAAGAATGAAGTATTTGATTTGATGTTTTTGGAGGGAAAAGAAAGTTGAAATAGTAAAATCAGACCTAAAATCTTATAAGTAAACAAATTATTTTATTATTATTGTCGTCTTTTATTTTCAATTATCGAATACAGTATATAAATTAAAATAGGTGTTATGTAATAATAATATAGCGCTGGTAAGTATAAATATATATATATATATATATATTCTATATCGTGTAATGTGTATATATGTATTTATGTATGTGTTATGTATCTATGTACTAGCCTATTACCCGAGCGGATAATTATAGAATTTATGATATTAATTTAATTTTTATATTTTAAATAATAAATTTTATTTTAATAATAAAATTGTGTATGAAAATAGTTAAAAATTAATTTATATAAAAAATAAACTATAAAAAAAATACTGTAATTAAATCAAATAAAAATATTAAGTAAGCTAATCAAAATTTCATAAATATATATTATAATTTAAACTCAAACATAATAGAGATAAAAAATAAAATAAAAAATAATTAATAAAAAATAAGATAACACAGTAGATAATTTTAAAAAATACATATACAATAATAATAAAGTATTAGAACATTATACTAGAAACTAAATAAATTTGTAAATAAATATATAATAAAAAAAAGAATATATTAGTAGAAAATTAACATTAATTTAATAAAATTATTATACATAATAAAATAAAATAAATAAATAAAAAGACAAAAAATATTATACCTGATTTTTTTTCTTTCTACTTCTCTTCTTTCTCTTCTATTTTTTCTTAAAGATTTTTTTTGCATCATAGTATGGGATAAAAAAATTTGATTAGTAAAAATTTTCATATACTTTAAAATTTATAAGTAAACAAAAACAAATTTATTTATAAAATTTTTACTATATAAGGAATGATAAAAAATTATATGCATAAATAATA